TGAAGTTCAAGTATAGAGCTTCCGGATATATTAGTGGATTCCTTTGACATGAGTGGAACATTGATTTCATTCAATGATTGATTTACTTCAAAAGTTGAGTGGGAGCTTTTGTTGCCACGAGATTGGATTACCTATTTAATTAGGAATGTATCATGGCCCCTTGAAGAGGGAGAATTCAGAAAACGCATGGTCGTGTTCAAATGGATTACATAGTAATCATTTGTTTTGTAATTCTAACTCAGATTCAAGAAAAGATTTGTAGATTAATATGATCACGACATGAGATGAAATCATATTATCAGATCAACACACATTGACTTAAGGGATTTGAACATTGCGCACTTGTCTCAAACAAGTGGGAGATTGAAGGAATTATGTCTTCGTCAAGTGCAATTGCTAGATATATCAAGGATCACTATTATGGAGATAATTAGTTCATTCTTTTCGGTCGTCATTGTTTGTTGCTAGATATGATAAATGATCTTAGGGCTAGTCAAATAGTCCAAAGCCCAATAGAATGGATCCTATGAGATCACACACAAGGGTATTGGATTGAACAAGTGTGAGGCCCATTAATGGGCCTCATGAAACTATGACAAACCATGTAAGGTGTTGGGCTAGAGTAGTTAGAATAGAGTTAGGAATTTGAGCTTAACATGGACTCTTATTTTTAGATATGATCTATAAATATAGTCCATGCCTAGGGTTGACAGTAGCCATAATTAACAGTCAATGAATTGTGAAGTAGGGCAACCAAATTCCCAAAACCCTAATCTCTCTCTCTCACTCACTCACGCACGTCCTTCCCCTTCTTCACCAATCAGAACGACCGGCCCCCTCTGGTGGCTCGTGGTGCTCGTCGTGGTGGTTCGTGGTTAGTTCCTTCCTCTCCTCTCCATAGAGGGTTGATTGAAAGGGTTCAATCACAACTAACTAGCATTAGTGGAGGTTCAATCTGTGCTCATGGACTAAGTAGAGGAATCACACTTGGGGTTCTTGTTTTCCTATTGTTCTTGCTCGATCACACGTGGAATCACGCTTCAAAGGTATATTAAATTTTCTTTATGTGTTGTGCATATATCTTGGTTATTAGATGCTTATGAATATGATCCATGAAATTCCGCTTAGAGTATCTATTGTCCTACAGTTTTTGTAACCCGATGTGAGTTTCATTGTTCAAGCCTCCAACATTACTTGTTTGAGCGCCATATGATCCTTACCAAGGCATGCTTAGATTGAGAACTTGTCGTCTAGCTTCCCGAGATTGCAACCGAACTAAATCTAGGGATGACAAAGGCGTTCTTCATTCGGTGACTATTTTGTTTTCTAGGACTAACTTTTATTTTTATTGTATTTTGTAATTTTATTTGCATTTTCCCCTTTTTCTAACCATGTTGAGCCTATTCCTCCTAAATTATAGCATATTACAAGCCCATGGCCTTTTTGTTTCATTTTTCACCCATAGGATTGTGAAGCTCGAGCCATGAAAGTTTGTTGTGGTTTTGATTTGAAAAATTGGAAGGTAACGGTTTAAGATGGAAAGTGAAGCTCTGATTTCGTGAATGTTTGTTCAATAAAATCTAGTGTAATTCCTAGAAAAAGTCTTCCATAGTTACAAAAAGCAAGGACAATGGAATAAAATTTGAGAAAGAAAAGAAGAAAAAAAAAAAGAACAAAATTTTCCAAAAGCTCAAAAGAAAAGAGAAAAAATTGATGAATAAAGATGAGAGACGAAAATGAAAGCTCAAAGTGTTTGGCAATTTGATGTAAGATTGTAGATATCTTGTTTGAAAATTGGGAAATGCTTGATTTTGGAATAGAGGCTTAATCACCGTTTGCATCACAATTAGGCTTAGCACCAATTTCTAAATTTTTCCACACCTTTACCCCCTAGCAAACGGTTACAACCCTCTTAATGTTGTTTTTACCTAGGTTAGTTGAGTCACTAGTCGGAGGAGGGGGCTAGATTATGGAGAGAGTATGACTTGGTAAGATGTTGGGTTTCCCTTGTTTTGTATTGTTTTATCTTTGTTCCGGCTCCTTCGAGGAGTCATGAGATGCTACTTCCAATGGTGGATTTGAAACTAGATGAGGGAACGTGGTAAGATTGTATGGAATGCGGGGGGACTGGTGCATGTTAGAGTTCTCTACGCTTAGCATGATTTATCCTTCAATCAACCCTTGGTATCCCCTTGCGTGCTCACTTCTACTACTTAGAAAGCTTGTCATTCACTTATGCTTATTGGCTTTAAAAGCTTGATTCGATTATAATTTGTGTGTGATTGTTGCTTCTCCCTTATCTCTCGCTATCTCTCATCTTTGGTTTGTCTTAAACACAATTTTGCAAGAGTTGTGGGGTAAGCTCTTTGGAAACCCTCACGAGATCACAACTCGTCCTCGTCGGAAATCTTGAGGTTTAAATGGCTTGTTGCTTGCGCTAAAAGAAAATTCGGCTTTCTTTGCTAGTTTTTGTTTCTTGTAGCTTTCTTTGCTTGAGGACAAGCACGAAGCAAGTATGGGGGAAGTTGATGAGTGGCATTTATGCCACGATTAAGAGTTCGTTTTGATGGTTTTTCCCCATGCTTGTAGCTTTTTTGTACCCTCTTTTCTATATTTAGTTTCCTTTCTTTAATTTCTTTTCTTTCTTAGTTTTATCCCTCTTTTTGTCTATATTCTACCTTGGTTTCTTTTGTTTGTGTTTTGTAGGAAACCTTGATGCTAAGCTAAGGAGAAGAGGTTGACTCATGATGCGCTGAGCGACCACAGAGAGGGCGCACAAAGGTGTACTGCGCGGGCACACAACCCTATGAGAGGGCGCACATAGTGAAGAGGAAAAGGAGCACATAAAAAGTACAATGTGGACAATAAAAAAGATATCATGTGAGAGAGAGTGAGGACCATGTAAGAGAGAGGAATGATAAAATATTTTGTGTGAGTTTTAAGAAAGAGAGAAACAAAGAAATATAGTACAAAATTACCAAATATAGAAGTGATGCATTTTTAATAAAACACATAAAATTAAAGTAAACAATGAAAGAAGCTGGTATTAGAACTAGAAATGTAATCAAAGAATGAAAACACTAACAATAAAAGAGAAGTCTTTCAATATACCCCTAAGGATTCACAAGATACATCGTGTACCCCTAAAAGGTTTTGAATGAGCAATATACACCTTACAAATGATAAATTTGTACTAAACACCATTAATGACTAACACAGTTAATTTTCTATTAACTTTATGTCTCAAAATAAGCTAAAATTCCCATTCTAACTTTTCCCGAGCCATAATTTTTGTTTAAAGTCTAAAATAGTCAACTGCAACATTTTCATTTATTGCTTGCTTTGTTAATCATTCACTACTTTAAAAAAATTACAATGAGGAACCCTTTTGTTTGTTAATATTTGATAATCATTTCCTTCTTAAAATAAAAAAGAGATGCAATAATGAGGGTATTGTTGTCTTGTAAAACTAAAGAAAGACTTAACAATAATGTTAGTTGTTTCACTTGTTTGCAATTTTGCACTGATAGGCCCAAAAAATCAACCAAGAATCAAAGAAAGGAAACACAAAAAGTGAAAAGCACACCAAATATGCTATGCTTAATAAGTTAGAAATTTACTAAGGTCCTACAAAAGATCATTAAAGAACTAAAAGTATATAAGAAGTAGGAAAAATTACTTTTAAATTATTCAACCTTTGCTCCGTTCTCCTAAAATAATTCCACCTTTGGATTGTTCCAAAATAATCCAATCTTTCACACCCATCTTCCCATAATGAACCTAGATGACCGATTAACTAAAAAATCGGTTATCCGTTTCTCTCTCCTCCCTCCTACCATCTTCCTTCATTCCCACCACCCAAAGTTCCACCCCCTCCTTTCTTCCTCCTCCCCCAATCACTCTAGCCCCTTCCCGCCGACAAAATTCTCGCCCCCCTTCCCCGAGCAAACCTGTCGCCTTCAAAAACCGTCCCACCCCCTCCCTCCTCCACTTCCAAATCGGCTTACTCCCACCAAAAAAAAAATTTAAAAAAAAATTAAACCTCTTTAATTTGCGTTTTTCGACGCGAGAGAAAGTGAGGGGGTTGGGTTTTAGATGGTTTCGGGGATGGAGGAGGTGATTTCGGGGGCTAGGGTTTTAGTTATGGGTTGTTACGGGGTTATGGGTGGTGGTTTTAGGGGTGTAGGAGGTGGTTTCAGGGGCTAGGGTTTTGGTTATGGGTTGTTTCGGGTTATGATAGGCGGTTTCGGGGGTGGAGGAGGTGGTTTCGAGGGCTAGGTTCTTAGTTATGGGTTGTTTCGGGGTTTCTGGGGTGAAGGAGGTGGTTTTAAGGAAGGGGCAGCTACTGTTAGTGGTGAGCTAGAGGTGGTCATGGAGGATTAGAGAGGAGAGAGAAAGGTGGGTTTTTTCTTTAGAAAAAATGTAAATTAAAATCTAAACCAAACCAATAAAAACATGACATGTAAGCAAGGTCACCTCATACGTAAGCAAAGTGACGTGTTGGGATTGATATAGAAAGATGGGGGTAAAAGCTTGAATTATTTTAGAATAATAAAAGGGTATGATTATTTTGGAAAAATGGATCAAATGTTGGATTATATAAAGTATTTTTTCCTAAAAAGTATATATAACGTAATAAGGAAATTGTAATGTGATTAATAGTAGTAATTTAAAAAAGTGAAGATCAAATAACAAGATGGTCCCACATACACAAAATAAACGCTCCTCTCCACTCACTTACGACCTTTTCTTTATTCATTCACAGGCTGTTGAAGTCTGCACTCAAATAATGCAAAATTGTGGATTAGTCACATGGCCTTCTTGTATTATCAAAAGAGATTTGTCATCTTCACACATGCTCTGCCTCCTTCCTTCACATGGCCTGTTTTACTCCCAATTTCCACTTCTAATTAATCTCATATATATTCTCTAACATAATCACTCATACATTTTGCTGTCAAATATTAAATCATGCATCCAACCCACAACAACAGGAAAAATAAAAATAAACTAAGCATATTACAAGTCACAATTAATTTAACAAGCACTAATTTGTCACTACAATTGGGGTTAGTTGATTACATGTATATCACACAAGCATTTGGAGTTACAAGGTCCGTTACGTCAAGCGTCTTACATGTATAGAGTTTTACATATACTCTGCAGAAAATGATCATTCACGGATTATAATTGGTCAGGATGACAGATGACAGAAGCCAGTGCAGTACATTGGAGGTGTCTGTAACAAGTGATCAAGTGATCGTTGGTAAGTCCGGCCACTTGCATGAAGGACTGAACGGCTGATGGACCGACGGTTCGAAACCCTCGTCTCACCATGTTTTTGCTTATACTTTCGGATTTAGATGTCTTGACTGGAATTTTGTAGGCAAACTTGTATTGAGGAGAAATTGGTTTATTGTTTACAAATCCCCAAATATACTTGTCAAATGATCCGAATTCCTTTTTAATCTGCAAGATCAAAATACATATATACAATAATATAAGTTGAGTAATAATTGAATACATAACGGAATAATTAAATTCTGTTATTCTAACTGCTGTACCGTTGTAATGTAGACAGGGAACCTATGTTATATGGCATTAGCTTACCAAATACGCTTTTATCAATATCTTATCCTAAAAGGCTAAAATATAGTGGGCCAAAATAAAGACTCTAGTCTCGTGATTCCTTCATGATTTGTGAACATCAAACAATACATGGCATAATGTAAGTATGTAACAGTATTTTGCTAAGAAAAGAGATGAAATACTAAATATGATGTTGATATCTTAACAATTTACCTATCAATTAATACTATCAACTGATGATCAAGCAAGATCTATATTCAACTAGTGATTTATTTTCACCAAAAAACCATGGTTGGTAATTCATAAATTATTTTTGCTTAAAATGCCAAGATTTGTTATCCTAGACGACTAGACGTAGTTCATAAATTATTTTGCTTAAATTATTTTAGAGTGACAACTTTCTAGGAAATTTTAAATTCTATGTTATAATTCAACAAATCAATTTGGTAGAAAAATCAGATTTGTTTACGTAATACTCCTTTCGTTCATAAATAATTAATATGATGGACTTTTTTCACAATTTACTCATTAAATTTACTATTGTGTTTTACTAATATAATAAAATTGTTTTTTATCATAAAATATATTGTTAGACAAGTATTAATACAAATTTTCATAATATGGGATAGAAGGAGTAAGTTGTTATAAAACTGAATATTTATATTCTCAATATTTAATTATGGAATGTTAAGGTTTAGTTTTATTTATTTATTTATTTATTTTACAATGGCAAAGGAAAAAGGTTTAGTTTTAGTTGCACATGCAACATAACTTTAATGATAACATGCAGAAATCAAATATCTTGTTCAGGCATAAAGCATTAAAAATATAGGAATATCATGCCACCATGTTGATTAGGCCATACTTCCTCTTTCCTTTGTACTACCCCGAGGCCCACGTATCTCTTACATAAATTAGTTGTCATGTTCTAACAAATCCTCATATTCATAATATTATCATTTCATGACAGGAATAAACTACGCAATAAAAATTCCCATATATTGTAACTTTCTAGACATTTAATTCTCCATATACAATAATGAGGCTTTATTGTATCAATCGAAATTAAGAAAAAGCACTATGAAGATCATGTGACTGCTTTTGTTATACAGAAAAAAGAAATAGAACATAAAAGATTTATTTAATACAATAAGACTGCACAGTCATTTGTAGTTAATAAAAAATAATAAAAAAATAACAAATTTTTCAAAAAGATAAGTGTACGTTAATTTATTGTAAAATTATTTAAAGTTACCCTTTATTCTACAAAAGTTATTATTTTTGAATAATAAATATTAGAAAAATTTGTCAGAAAGGTCCTTTTAAGTAGGTTTTTTTTGTCGTAAAGTTCTTTTTATAAAAAAAGGTGGCACAAAAAGTCCTTTTATCGCACTTAGGTTGTGACGAGGGTCCTTTGACCGAATTCCAACAGTTGAATTTTTTTCGGCCAAAAAAATTCACGTGCCTTACCCAAAAATCCATCTTTCCCCTTTTCCCCCATTTCCCTTTAATAAACCCTAATTTTTTCATCATCAACCTCAACGCGAACACTATTTTGTGAAAAAAAAAAAAAAATTCATCAAACTCCAATTCTAGTCCCTCAAATTAAAATTGAAGGCAATTGATGACAAATCAAACCAGGTAAGGGGGAAAAGTGGGGAAAAGGGAAAAAAAGAATTCTAAGTAGTCATGTACAACACATGTGACTTTTTTTTTGGCCGGAAAAAAAAAGTCAATGGTCAGAAACCAGTCAAAGAACCCTCTCCATAACCTAAGTGTGATAAAAGGACCTTTTGTGCCACCTTTTTTTTATAAAAAGATCTTTACAATAAAAAGACCTACTTAAATGGACCTTTCTGACAAATTTTCCTAAATTTAATCTTACAAAAAATTTATAATGTATTAAATTGATCATATTAGCTTTTATAGTATATAATCATGAATCTATAAGAAATTATACATTAGAATTAAATTCAGACCAACGACAAATTAAAAGTTACCATTTAAGAGGTTAAAGTTATCATAAAAATAATTAAACTTACCCTCAAACTAACGTTTTGCAATAAAATTAAGGTACAACCGTCTTACACAACATTTTGATATAAAATTAATGGTAAATAAATAACGTAAAAGTGAGTAGATATTAGTAAAACGCTATATTGTAGTTCTACACTTAAAGTCAACGTAGTTTGTCTTATGAAGCCTGGCAGGCTAGCCTCTATACTCAGGAAGTCAGGAGTTATCCAAGACATTAAAGATAGAATCATAGAATCAGAAAATTAGATAATAATGCAAAAAGTGAACACATATTTAACACATATAGACGAACTAGTCTTTAAATTCGATATTTTTCCAAAGTAAGCTTTATACAAAAACAAATTTGTAAAATGGATGCGTGGCAAAACTATTTACCAAATTAAGCTTATAGGGTAAAACGCTGTCTCAAACAGCGTTTTATACCCTGGTTTTTTTTTAAAAAAAAAATTAAAACATAAAACGCTGTCTGGGACAGCGTTTTACCCTGTTGACCCTTTTTTTTAAGAAAATTTCGTAATTTGTTATATTTAAAATGTTTTAAAATAAAGAATTCATATGTAGTAAAACGCTGACTGAGGCAGCGTTTTATGCGTTTTATGAAACGCTGTCTTAGTCAGCGTTTCTATCGCTGCTGTAAAACAGAGGCAGCTTCCTCTCTAACTCAAACTCCCCCATTTCATTCCTCTCACCCAATCTCTCCCTCACTCAATCTCTCTCTCACGCAACCCAAATCCCCCTCCCACCGGCGTCTCCCTTCGACCACCGGCCGCCGACTGCTCCGACGCCCTCTTTCTTCACTTCCTTGTCGAATTAGGTACTTGCCCCCTTTCTCTTAGGTTTTTATAATCTAGGTTTTTTTATAATTGTTGCTTTTTTTTGTGAATGTTAGTGTTGATAATATTGAATTGATAATATTGAATTATTAGTGTTGATAATTTTAAATTGTTAGTGTTGATAATTGTTGGTAATGTTGAATTGTTAGTGTAGATAATTGTTGAAAATGTTGAATTGTTAATTTAGATAATTGTTGATAATGTTGATAATTGTTGTTAATGGCTGATAATTGTTAATTTTTGAGTAATTGTGATAACCTACATTGTTGTTTAATAATGGTGATTTAGGGCTTCTAAGTTGTTGTAATTTGAAAAGTATGTACATTGTTGTTTATATATAGCGATTTAGGGATGAGTTAGTGCGTTTAAGTATAATGTGTTTTGGTTGTAATGTAGAATATGGCTACACAAAATGCTGTGTTGTTATGCCGGTGAGGAGGTGAAATTCTGTTTGGTGAACCCCGTGTCGAGTATAGTGGAGGAAATATGGAACCACTAACACTTGAACCGAATATGACTTTCAATGATTTGATGAACGAGGTTCATAGTAGTATTGGTTCAAACCCAAGGAATGTTGAACTAAACATTAAAATGAGGTTTGAGACTGGCAATGGGGTTCAAGTGTTATCTGTTTCTACGAATAAACATTTGAAAGCTTTGAGGAGCGTTGTTGCAATGAAGGGTGTTCCCACTGAAATATATGTAGAAATGGTGCCTATATGTACCCAACAAAGTACTCGGCCAAAACAACAATCTACATATATTTCCAGTTACAATACAGAGTCCTTCCAAGTGCCCTCAAACGACATTCCATCGAATGAATATGGGATGGGATCTTTCAGTAGAATGCTGCACGACGATCAATTTAACATGCCGTTTAGTTCTCATATAGCTTCACCTGTACATGGGGGGGCATATGTGACAATGTACGGCCAACCTTGTCCTTCAACATCAAACACCGTCACACCTTCACCAATGCAATTGCGTAGTTATTCGCCTATGCAAGATGATGTTCAAGCATCAGCGTCTCAACCTATGCCAAATCATCTTGAAACTATTTTGAATAACGAATTGTCTGTGTATGATGTGTATGCGGAAACAAATGATGAGGCCGAGAGCGGAGAGGAGGAAGATGGACTTCAGAACATGGATGTTGAACCTGCACACATGGAAGTTAGCGAGCCCATGGTTAGAACTCCCGTACCTTGGTTTAGTCAGATAAACGAGAATTATGAACTTGATCAGTATTGGGCCGAATCAAGTAGCCATACACCGTTTGTTCCCGGAGGAGAATTTTAGAAGGGCATGTATTTTGAAAGTAAGAAAATGCATCAAGAAATGGTGAAGATGTATTCTATACAGAGGAACCAATTCTACACCACAGTGACCTCGAATGATAGTGTCCTTCATCTGCGGTGCAAGAAGAAATGTGGTTGGTCGCTACGGGGTACCAAATCAAGTGAGCACTCGCGTGGCTTTTCCCTAGTCAAATACAAAGGCCCGCACCGGGAGAACTATGTCACTAAAGTACTATCTACTGATCACCCACACTTGAATTTGTCCATAATATCAGAGTATGTGAAGTCCTTTGTGCAGAAAGATCCGTCCTTTGAAGTTGAATTCATCCAGGAACTCATCTCCAAGCAATTTCATTTCCAAGTTCCGTATCGAAGATCATGGTATGTCAAGGACAAAGCTATAGCTGATATATTTGGGGATTGGGAGAGTTCTTACGGCAGACTTCCGCACTTCATGCAAGCACTCCAACAGTCAAACCCGGGAACCGTTGTTGTATGGAAACACAAAGCTCTGGTGGATGGTATTTACTCTAGCAACATGGAAGTGTTTGAACGAGTGTTTTAAGCCTTCGGTCCTTGTATCGACGGTTTTAAACATTATATGCTTGTTATCTGTATCGATGGGAAGCACTTGTACGGGAAGAATAAAGGAACACTATCGGTTGCTACAAGTGGGGATGCAAGCTTCCAAGTATTTCCGCTAGCATTTACG